TTTTCTCTGTTCTTTCTTTATTTTCTTTTTTTCTTTTTTTCTCTCTGTTTTGTTTTCTCTCTTAGTTTTTCTTTCTTTTTCTCTTAGTTTTTTCTTTTTTCTCTTTTTTTTCTTTCTTTTTACTCTTTTTTTCTTTCTTTTTCTCTCTCCCTCTTTTAGTCTTTGTTTTTTCTCTTTCTATTTTTATTCTTTCTTTTTTCTCTCTGTTTTTTCTTTCTTTTATTAGTTTTTTCTTTCTTTTTCTCTTTCTCTGTTTTTCTTTTTTCTCTTTCTTTTTCTTTTATTCTCTCTATTTTATTTCATTTGTCTTTTTTTCTTTTATATTTTACTATATTCTTTCTTCCTTTCTCTGTTTTCTTTTTTTCTGTTTTTTCTCTCTTTTTATTTTCTTTTTTCTCTGTTTTTTCTTTCTTCTCTGTGTTTTCTTATTTTCTCAGTTTTTTTCTTTTTTACTATCTCTTTTTCTTTCTTTTTGTCTCTGTTTTTTCTTTTTCTCTCTTTTTTCTTTCTTTTTTCTCTCTTTGTTTTTCTTTCTTTTTTCCCTCTGTTTTTTCTTTCTTTTTGCTCTCTCTCTTTCTTTTTGTCTCTTTTTTTCTTTTTCTCTCTTTTTTCTTAAAATTTTCTCTCTGTTTTTCTCTGTATTTTCTTTCCTTTTCTCTCAGTTTTTTTCTTTCTTTATCTCTGTTTTTTCTTTCTCTTTTGCTCTTTTTTCTTCCTTTTACTTTTTCTCTCCGTTTCTGATTATATTCTCTCTGTTTTTTCTATTATCTTTTTTTTTACTCTCTTTTTTCTTTCTTTTTCTCTCTCCCTCTTTGTCTTTGTTTTTTCTCTCTCTTTTTAGTCTTTCTTTTTCTCTCAGTTTTTTCTCTTTATCTGTTTTTTCTTTCTTTTTTATGTCTCTTTTTTCTTTCTTATTTTAGCTCTCTCTTTTTTATTTCTCTTGTTTCTTTATTTATCTCTTTCTTTTATTTTATTCCCTCTCTTTTTCTTTCATTTCTCTCTTTCTTTCATTTTCTCTCTTTTTCTTTCATTTTTCTCTCTCCTTATATTCATTTTTTCTTTCTTTTTTCCTTTGTGTTTTTCTTTGTTCTCTTTTTTCTCTCTTTTATTTCCCTTCTTTTTTCTCCCTCTTTCTTTCTTTTTGTCTGTTTTTTCTTTGTTTTCTCTCTCCTTTTTCTTTCTTTTTTCTTTCTTTGTTTTTCTCTTTTTTCTCTGTTTTTTCTCTGTTTTTTCTTTCCTTGTCTTTTTTTTCGTTTTCTGTTTTTCTTTTCTCTTGGTTTTTTCTCGGTTTTTTCTTTTGTTTCACTCTATTTTTTCTCTCTGTTTTTCTTTCTTTTTTCACTCTTTTTATTCTTTCTTTTTTCTCTGTTTTTTTTTCTTTCGTTTTTCTCAGCAGCTCAGATGATGAAATTGCAACTATGATTCTGATAACAAGCTAACAAATTGAACTAGCTCCTCTTAAGATAACCGGCTATCAGAGCTTCTGGCTGACAGTTTATGTGCAGCAGCAAATCAACTATCCAGATTAACAAGGTTATAAAAGCTCATAAATGAAAAATCCCTTTGATGTGTTGGGGAACTTTTCCAGGCCCTCTTTAGCAGGGTGGGACTGGGAGGAGAGTGCTGTAGCCTTTTAGCTGGAAGCTAACTGGAGCCTGGGGCTAACATTACCACCCAGTGGAACACTAGCGACATGAAGGTGGGTTGGTTCACTGGCACGTGTCGTTGTCGTTGTTTTTGGGAGTGAGGGAAGAACAATCAACGACTATTTCAGTTTCTGGCAGGATGTAAAGCTTTGCTGCAAGAAATCCTTGTAATATTTTCTTCTGCCCGCCTCACTTGGCCTGGTAGAGGTGGCAGCGGGTGTTGAGGAAGGGGGATGCGGAGGATGGGGGTGCAGGGCCTCAGCTGGCCACACAAAGTGGGAATGACAGAAAGATTGTACTCAACCTTTCCATTCACCCCAAACATGATGAAGCTTTCTGCTGCCTCAGAGGGGACAATCAGATTGGCAGGACTTTTGAAGCCTTTAAAAAGTCTGAACAACAAACTGTGTTTGCTCGCTCTCTCCCTTTCTCTCCCACACACACACACACACACACACACACACACACACACACACACATAAAAGCAGACTTTCATCTCTCCAAACACTGTAGTGAGTATGCCAACAATGTCAACCTGCTGACTCGCTAGCCTCCCAGTTGGTCCCGCCCTGCCGTCGTCGAAGTGTGTCCTGATAAATAAAGCGACAAATGTAATGGAAACAGAAAACGAGGGGAGAGACGGAGGCAGCCAGAGACCACGTAGGGCTATAATTAGTAAGTGATTAACGAGCAGGCATTAGACAGGTCCCACATCATTGATCGTGATGTTGTGCAATGTTGCTGCAGTGAAAAACAAGCTGGCCCTAGGAGGAAGGGGTATGAGGTCACAGCTTTCTCTCGCTCTCTAACACACGCACAAACGGGCGAACGAATGTGTTTGTTCTCACTGAAAAACACATCAAATAGTCATTAGTGAGAAAACATGTCAGACGTTACACTGCACTGAGAAAAGAGGATCTATGCATAAATAAACGTGTGTGAAAGGACTGAATATATTTGAATGTTATTACAATAATAATAGTGTTTTCATGCTAGTCTGCTCTGGTAAGGACGACAGGTCCTGCAGCTTAGATTTGAGCTTCAAACGTCAAAAAATGTAGATGACGAAAGACAAAATGCTGATGAGCACCAACATTTAGTCGTAAATGGCCACAACGAGAATGATAAAGGGGATAAAACTCCAACAGATCTGTTATTCAGGAAATCTGTTTGCTAATACGGCAAACATCAGTCATGTTTTCCTAAACATGTGGGTCAAACGCTACAATAAAGCACCGCTAGTCAGTCAGCTTTTAGAGATTTACAAACAATCAGAGCTATAAGAACAATCCTTGTTTGGTTGGGTTTTTAAATAAGGTACTGCCAACAAATGCTGGAATAAGATGTGTGTACTGGCATTTAGATGTGCCGCTGCTATAGCCTGTCAGCAAGTGTGCATTTGGTTCCTCTGATTCAGCCAATGCCACTCTATCTCCAGTCAGTGCTGTAGCTAACGTTCCCACCCCAGTCTTGGTTTCCAACCAGCACTGGCTACCTCCTCCAGCTAGCTCTTCTGCCAGAGCTCCAGAGAACAACAGTACTGCGCGTACCGCCTCATCAGCCTCAACTAACTTCCCCCTTCCAGCTGCACAGTCCTCAGCCATTGCTCCAGCTTCAACTGGCTAAATTCTGCATCTCTGACGACCGTTGTTGCAATTCTTCAAACAAACCAGATGATCCATCTGTTGCCCTGGCTGGAAAATGTAAACAAAGTGGCGGAGGGAGAAAAGTCTACAGATTGGAACTATGACTCGTCACTTCCTGGTCATTCAAACATCCAAAATAAGAGTTAAACCTTAAAGTAGTTTAGTGTTGTATTATGTACAGCGGGAATTTAAAAACTACATCTATTTCACTTTTAGATGAATGAAGTCTTCTTATCTAGTATGTAAGCCACAAAAATTAATTATGTGGAAGTTAATCTGCCACTTTAACTACATTTCAACTAAGGAGTTGATATATTCTGCAGTTCCTGGTTAACCTGCCATAAATGATGCTAAATAATAATAATGATTTCATTAGTTCCCTGCAACTTCAACACAAAACAGAGGACCAATTTAGCAAACTACAGCTGCTTCAAACAAAAATGTGACTAATGTGAGTCGTCCATTCCCCCAAGAAATCAAGTACATGTGTGCATAAGACACAAGAGACCAATGACTGGTGATGTTCTTCAATGTTCTGGTTCTTGATGATGAATAACAAACAAATGAATAATAATTTACCCCACAGGAAATTTTATTTGGGGGCCTAAAGTATACTACAGAACTGCATTAAATACTGTTTTACAGGCCGACATATGTAATACAAAAAGGAGGCCGGGTACTCCTCAGGGGCTAAGTACCCAGATGTGTAGCTCTATTGTAAGGGTCTTCAGCTTCCATGCTGGAGTACCCCTATCCTGAAGGATTTAGTTGTTTCGCTGCTTCAACACACCTGGTTTTAATTAGTGGGGGATTGACGGCGCTTGATCATTTGCAGAACAGTTAATTCAACCATGAAATCAGGTGCGCTGGAGCAGGGAAATTACTAAAACATGCTGGATAGTGGTCACTGAGGATCAGTGGTTCCTAGAGTTTTTTTATCCACTTCAAATTGGATTTATAATAAAAAACGACACGCAGAACTGAACGATTAATTTCTTCAGAAGGACATTAAGAAATGTTTTGATTTTATGTTTTTTATTGCTTCTGTGTTTAAATCCAATGTTTAGTGTTTTTATTATGCGTGAATAGCAAAACTCAATCTGGCAGAGACTAGTTATAAAAAAGGAGACGTCCTATACACTCATTCGGAGTCTGAAACCATGGCGCCTTCTTTAGGAGCTTCAGAAGTCTCACCCCACCCAAACTCATCATTATCTTCTACTCATGATCGGACAGGCTTAGCCGAGCTTCAAACTCAACTGTATGAAAAAAAGGGTACAGCAAGGGAGAAGTGCTGATGAAGGCAATAAGAGATGCGAGTCCTTCCCCAACCCCAACTTTTCCCTTTCTGGCATTCTTTTACAGCAATCTGGTCAGGTGCCAACATTAATGTACTTTACTGTATGATTGGGCAGACGCTGGAGAGTGTTGGCCCGTCACGCTTCCTTCTCTGTCCTTGCTCCTATACTGCTAACTCTGCCAAGCTAATAATGATGACAATGAGAGGGATTAGCAAGGAAAAAGAGGGAGCACTTAGGACTTGGCTGAGCTGCTGTTGGTGCAGAGGTTTCTGACAAAGGGAACAGGCTTTGATGACGTGACCCTGCGTGCAGTGAGTTCAAAATACAGCTGGAAAGTAAAAATAATCTACACAAAGTCATTTAGGCTTCAGCAGCTGACAGTAGAAGGTGTTTGTTTTCACTCTTACCTTGTCATTGTTGAAGTAAGCCAAACTTTCACCATCAAACCTCACCCACCTCCTCTGAAAAACACATTTTCTGCAGAGAAAAGAAGGTGCAACAGTCAAGGCAGGTGTCAATAAGATCAAATTAAAACCTATTTGTGTTGCAAAAAGCCACAAAATCCTCAAAGTTCGGCAGTTTGAAGACAGCGAGCCGGTAATCTTTTCCACGCAGCTACTCAAATTTCATTATGAGGGCTATTGATTTATTGATGTCAGGAATTGTATCAACAGCTGTCGATTATCATAATCTAAATAAATGACCATGTCAGGATTGAATATTTAACAGCCCAAGGGCAGTTTGCCAAACTCATGCAAATCATGTGCTGAAGGGGAGAATATAAAAAAGAAATAAATGATTGATAGCTCTGCTTCCCAGTACCAGTGATTTGTCACACCTTGCCATTCTGGAACGATAATCTAGTTTCACCAAGAAGAACAAACCAAGCCAAACATTCTGTTCTGTAAATCTCCCAACCACAAGGTTATCTCACATCTTCCCTCACCTCATGTTTTAATGGAGTTACACAATTTTGTCTGCTCTTGGATGGGTTGTGCTGTAAGTCCATTGTACCGGGGACACTGGTTTAGTGACCATAAAGACTATTAATTTGTTCATTTCATATTGGCAAACAAAAGGGTGATTTGTTCATGCTAAACGGTTTCTATGGCAGGTCACAAAATATAAAAATGAGTAGCAATGGGGTAAACATTTAAATAAACTTTCACACTAAATTCCAGGCTGACATTTGACTGATTATAAATGTCTACATATTTTTTTGTATACAGGGGAGACGATACGATTTATATAACATAAAAGGAGAGACGACGCAACACATATCATGATACAGGAGAGATGTTACGATATATATCACGATACAGGAGTGACGATACGGTATATATCACGATACAGGAGAGACAATACGGTATATGTCACAATGCAGAAGAGACCATACGATATATATCACAATACAGGAGAGGCGATACGGTATATGTCACAATACAGGAGAGGCGATACGATATATATCACAATACAGGAGAGACAATACGGTATAAATCACAATACAGGAGAGACGATACGATATATATCACGATACAGGAGAGGCGATATGGTATATGTCACAATGCAGGGGAGACGATACGATTTATATCATAATACAGGAGAGACATTACGATATATATCACAATACAGGGGAGACGATACAGGAGAGAAAATACTATATATATCACAATACAGGAGAGACGATATGATATATATCACAATACAGGAGTGACGATACGGCATATATCACGATGCAGGAGAGAGGATACGATATATATCATGATACAGGAGCGACGATATGGTATATATCACGATACAGGAGAGACGATACGATATATATCACGATACAGGAGAGATGAAACGGTATATATCACGATACAGGCGAGATGATACAATATATATCACGATACAGGAGAGACAATACGATATATATCACGATACAGGAGAGACGATAAGGTATATATCACGATACAGGAGAGACGATACGGTATATATCACGATACCAGAAAGACAATACGGTATATATCACGATGCTGGAGAGACAATACGATATATATCACGATACAGGAGAGACGATAAGGTATATATCACGATACAGGAGAGACGATACGGTATATATCACGATACCGGAAAGACAATACGGTATATATCACGATGCTGGAGAGACAATGCGATATACATCGCGATACAGGAGAGACGATACGGTATATATCATGATACCGGAGAGACGATGCGATATATATCACAATACAGGAGAGACGATACAATATATATCACAATACAGGAGAGACGATACGATATATATCACAATACAGCGTGTGTCTGCACTGTCGTCTCGATCCTCAGTGGGTCGTGGTGGATGGCTGCTTGCTTAGTATGAGGATTGCTGTAAAGTCACTGACACTAGTCAGTGACTCCATGCAATTTGCTGGGTTTCTTATATAGGAAACGTTTTACTGATTGGATTAATGAACTGACCTGTATTGGAATGTTTACTGTGTGAAGTGCCTTGAGACAACTCTTGTCGTTATGTGGCACTATATAAATAAACTTAAATTTAATATAATTGAAATACAGGAGAGACGATACAAATATACCACAATACAGGAGACACGATACAAAATATTGTGATATTAAAAGCCAGACAATATTTGCAATTTTTAATATTGACTTTAATTGGAAAACACAGGCCAGAATCTTCCGAGACAAACTCAATGTTCTCAAAGGTCGCCTTATTTTATCAGCATGACAGAAGTGAAAACTGCTGCCAACTAGAGGTCTGAGTTTGAATAGCCCCACACAAAAGATATGGAGTAAAAGTGTGCATGTATAGTCTAAATAAAAAAAGATACACAGCTTTTAATTAGTCCTTCATTTTCACAAAACACAAAATATTGACATTTCAGTGTATCCGTATTTTCTTATATCCCTAGTGGAAGCCCTACTGTAAAGACAGAGCAGCAATAATACTGAGAAACTGTAGTAATTTAACAAACACAGCAAGTGTTGTTAAATGCATCTCATCAAACTAAATTCTGATTGTTATTTCATGTGCTGGGCTTTCAAAATTGAATGTTAAAAGTATAGCTATATGATGCAAAATTATTTCGACTTTCATTCCACTCTGATCTAATTTCAAATAATCCTAGCAGTTCTCTAATGACATAAACAGCACATTTAAAAGGATTATCTGTAGAAAGTTTCAATAATTCTTCCACATGACTGAAGCTGCTGAATACTCCTTCCACGAAATGGAGATTAAAGTGACTGCAGAAAATTTTCATTAGCTTCACAGAAACCGCTCTTACCTTAATAGGCACTTTTTTAATAGCTCATAAAATGCAAGGGTGCAAAGATTTTATCAGTTAAATTAATATTAGCTGAGAGCGAGGACATTTTTAAATGTAAAGAGCACAGTTGTGTTCCTGCACATTTAAAATCCAGAGTAAGCTTAAATAAAGAGCTAACAGGCGCTGATGGCATATCCCAACTATGATGAAAGGCTGCAATTTTACAGATCGACTTGCATCAAAGACATGAAAAACAGATACAATTTATTCGGCAATGAGTAAGCTCTGAACGCTTTAAAGCCTGGGAGAGAAGGTGATGAATAATTATAGAAAAAGGTCCACGCATTTAAACTCTTCTAAGAGCTCTGGTGAAAGTGAAATAGGTGGTTAACCATACCCTTGAGGTGAAAGCTTGTCCAGCCAGCCCACTTTGAGCACTTGTTGTTTGGGGGCTCCATAGAAGCATGCATATGGAGAAATATCAGGCTGAGCACTCTTGGTGATGGCCCCTCGAGCATCTGCATGCTGTGAGTAGAGGCAACACTCCACCATCTCGATCACTGAAGCATCTTTACTGACGAACAATTGTGGGCCAGCAGCAGCGGTGTTGGGATTCAAGGCTGAAGTTTGGTCCAAACCGATCCGAGGCACCATGCTAACACACTCGTCCACCGTGGAGTACTCTGCAACCTCTGGGTCAAACAGTACTGATGAACACTCCATGGATTTTCGTCTACAGAAAAGGACATTACATATTATACATTTACATATTATATGTCATAAAATACAGTACATTTAGAAGATTACAGCTGCAGATGCAACAATGATTACAAGGACTGATATTTATTCTTGTACGATGCCGATATTCTAATATATCTCTAGAAACTACAATTAACAGTGAACATTTATTCGTGCTGTCTAGTCAGTCCCTTGATCTGCCACACCTGTAAGGTGGGATGGATTATCTTGGTAAAGGAAAAGTGCTCACTAACACATATGCAGACAGATTTCAGAACCATATTTGAGAGTCACGGGTCTTTTGTGCGTGTAGAAAAAGTTTCAGATGTTTAGTTCAGCTCATGAAAAATGGGAACAAAATCAAAAGTGTTGCATTTATATTTTTGTTCAGTGTACAAATAAAAAACTCAGATTCTGAAATTTGATACAAGCTGCTGTGATTTCTAATTACTGGTCCGGGAATCGACTATTGGAAACCAAAAGAACCACACCTTTGATTTATAAAGGACGATTTAATCTGCTACTGTGACTGTAATGATACCAAGATCCTTGATCTAGTGATAAATCACTCCTACAGACTCTTAAGGAAGGCTGGGAGACAATTCAGCTGTTAAAAACTCAAACGCACAAGGAGGGGAAAGGTGTTGCTTTTGGTTCTACAAACGAACACTAAGAGGAGCTAAAAGCAACCCAAAACTGCCTAGTTCCATTTTAAGAAAATCAGCTGTGTCCGTAATCAAAATCATGCAGGTAACACGTTGGAATCGGACCGCAGCATAAGTTATGTCAGCTCATTTCTTTCTTTCTTAAGTGCTTGAAAAATAAAATGCAGGTAGATTTATCCCAATACAATTTTTTTCTGTTGTAAAGAAATGGTTAATAAGCATGTAATATTTATTGATTTGATATAATTCAGATTACCTTCTAAACTCAGTCACACACCCAGGGCCATATCAAGGCATTTTGAGGGCCAAGGCTAGACAGACGACTGCCAGGTATTTAAAGTCGTGTTTTTTTTTTTTTACGTTTTAATATAAAGTCCAAAAGTGAAGAATTTATGTTGACTGTTCAAGCTACCTCACAGAAATTCTCTGTTAACAGAATTGCTAAATGTTAAAATAAAGTTCATTAAATAAAAAACGAGGAACATTTTGGACCGGTTTCTTCGCTTTACTGTTTTTTAATGTATTGAAAGTATCAGTCTGAGACTCAGCAGATTCTCAAAATCAAATGACTCGGACTGGAGGGCAAAATTACCCGATCGAGACATCCCTAGTAAAAATTAACAGGACATTCTAAATAACTGAGAAATGCTAAACTAACAGCTGTTAAAGGTTTTTGAAATGACTGCATATGAACCGCTTGTAAATTTGAAGATCAGAGCTGTACTATGACAGGAAGTTTCCAGTCACGTTGGACGTAAATACTCTGAAACGTGGCTGTTCAGAAAGCTCCAGCTCTATGTGGTACCAAATAACATGTAGGGATGTCTCAATCTTATCTCTAGAGTCATTTTACAAATCAGATGTTTTATAATTGGGATCAGATTTGCTAGCTACATTCAGTTCCTGATCTCCATTGCTGAAAATCACCTGGGCCATAATATGGCACCGACTCATCACAGAGCTGCTTTGATCTACAAGTATCCCTTTCTTAGGAGCTGGAGGTGGACCATAAAACCAATGAACCTGTTGAGAGAGCCATGGTTGAACTCTCCCAGTTAGTTTCACTTTTTCCTTGCCATTTTTTTGTGGAAAAACATGAGATCATCGTCTCCAATCTCTCGTCTTTGAGCTAGGCTCCGTCCTCTTTTTTGATTGGGTGTTGCTTCCTGGGTCAAGCAAATCATCAGTGAGCAGTGCCCTATTAGGTCTTTTCCACTTCCCAAACTGGCATGGGATAGGATGGATCGGGTCGCTAATTTTTCTGTTCCGATTGTAAAACCAGTCCAGACAACCGAACCAGACCGCGCCAGTCACGGGATTTTCTGGGCTCCCTTCTGTTGTAGGTCCAGAAATTCCTGGAGCGGTACGGATAGGGTGGAGCAACAACACAGTCCACTGACTGGTTGACAGAAATACGTCACTTCTTGCACACAGAACTAACGGAGTTCCGTTGTTTGTATTTTCGCTAGCTGAACATAAAAGTGACAAAATTGCAGCAAGTAGCAGCAAGTGTTGGTCACCTTCAGAGTTCCATACATTTCTCACCTTCATCACGAGAGTCCACAGGAAGAGCTAGACGGATCGGTAAGTTTTTTTCTCAGCGGATGGCAGCCAAAGGATCAGAGTGGACGTCAGCTCAGTGTCGGGCCAAGATGAAGAAATTAAAGCCCAATGTAGCTAATTGTTAAGGACAGAAAGAGCCGGAGTGGATTATTTTTTCAGATGGGAGAAAAACACGGAGTTGCTACGATGCGCTGGATGCCATGTGTAGCCGAGGCAATGAGGCAGGCTTCTGGACTCAGCGACTGCACTCTGGAGTCACATGTGGAGGCTGTGGTAAGCATTTTATTTTTGTCTTTAGCTCTGTAGACCAGTTATTGCAGCACAGACATACTGAATAGTTTCACAAGTTTTAAAATTGTGCAATGCGGCTCATTTAACCCCGCCTGCCGACGTTGTAGTGACTATCAAGTCCCACTTTTAGTCACCCTCGGGTGCAGGTGGAGGCAATGACTCGCTTCAACAATATTGTCCAGGCAGAAAGCGGGTATGGGTTTATTGTCCCATTTATTGAATATGATGACGATCACAAGCTGGGTCCACAATGGCTATTTCTTGTCCAGGTTTATGTAAATGATGAAAATTATAACGGCAAATTAGATGTGGCATATGAAACCAAACGAAGCGGTAAAAACCGTGTGACCTCCCGTCACCCACAAAACGCCAGTGCACTGCAGCCTCAACACCTTTATAGGCTCCGCAGTGCCACCAGTGGTCAAAGGAAATACAAACCATAGTGCAATAAACTGAAATGTACATAAAACATTATGAAAATAAACTTAGACCATAATATAATCTAAACCAAAACAATAATGGCTCCTACAGACGTGATGGCCTAAACTGGGATCGAAACGCTTGTCTGAAAATTCCATACCATAACATACCGGTCTAAAAATAACCAGACCGGACCGATCCAGCCCTGGCGATGGAAAAGAGGCTTATATAATCACTGCGTAGTTGTTAGATTTGTGGGTGTAAATGAATTTTAAAGTGATGTAAACTTTTGCTCTGTCTTTGTAAGGGAGAGCAGCATTTCTGTTTGATCCGGTTTGATCCTGCTTGTTAGGTTATTAGGTAAGTTCGTATATTTTCTTTTTTTGGCATTAGCTGTTAGACTTTTCCTTTAGGACTGTTTTGTCCGTTAGGTTGGCCTGAGCTATCGATGAAGCTAAATGCAAGTCTGTACAGAAGATTTTTAAAAATATGGCATAAAGTAAACATTACCTCTTTTTCTTTTGTCTCATCTTTGCCTTAAACGTCTTCGGCAACCCTTCTTTAGCAGCTTGTTCCTACAAAAGCACAGTGAAGATTAGCATCAGACGGAAAGAGAGGGCCCATCTGAGTATGACATGGTTGTTGAGTTGGTGCACTAAACTATGTTCACTTTAGTAGCAAGGTGACATTTCAATTAACCTCATGGGGCAAACTGAAACCAGCACATCCTCCACTCAGCTACGTGTCCTTGGTGGAATCACTTAAAACTGGAGGAAGTTGGGCCTGACTGTGGCTGAAGCAGCAAAGATAAAACTGAAGAGATGTGAGAAACGCTGCTTCCTCTCACTGCTCGCACCTTCCAACGTGTGGGCGTGTACATCGTCTTACCAGAGTGTGTTCAGGGTTGTTGTAGAGGAACGTTTCTCCGTACGGGGCAATGGCTGTTGAGGTCCTTTGGAGCGGAGCTAAAAAAGAACATAACAGTGGTTTTGTGAGGACTGAAACTCCCTTACAACTAAACCAAATTGTTCCAGTTACATTCCAAATCTCTCCACCGTTACAGCGCTCCTCAGATCTTAATAGATGTGTGAGCTTTTGATCCATATGGGTACAAACCAATTAAATTTAGCCTTGGCGTGCCTATCTCTCTGCTTCTTCCATGCACTAACGGGAGTGTGATCACCCTAAGTCCTAAGTCTATCTCAAAGAAATGCAGCTGCTGCCAAGGCTGCTTTCTCCATCTTTGTTCCTGCAGGAACTGTGGTGGGTGGAGGCGAGGATGAAGGGAAAGAAGAAAGACTCGAGCCAGACACTATTAGTCTGGAGACCCGGAGCTACAGTGTGTAGGCAGCTTCCTGTCACTGTGAAAAATGACACTGCCCTCTCGTGAGGATTAAGAGGGCCAGAAGTGGTCGCCACAGGGCCAGACACACACATAGATGGCGGCGGATGGACAGAGTACAGAGATTGAAACACCCTCAGACGCTTGGCGTTGCCTGGAGACAAACAAGAATATAAAAGACTGGACAGATAAATAAAAGAAGTCAGTCCTACAGTGAATATACCATTTCTTAAAACATTTATTGATAAACTTCAAAACAATGGGTGATTACAGAAGGCCACAAAGGGTATGTACTCAGTTTTGTAAGCTGTAAGAAGAGGTCAGCATACTCAATGATAGAATGCACTCTAATACTGTGGTCCTCTCCAAGGACAAGCTTGGTGGGCAGATAGTGACCATCAATCATGTTCTATCAGCTGACCCCCGGGTCTGTCTCCGGGGGACGGTGGACGCCGCTGTACTCTATTCCTGTCTCTTCCCTTCCTTCCCTCACTGACTTCATGGCTGGCATCAGCCTTTGTTTCTCTCTTTATCTGCTCCTGACCAGACTCTGTCAAGATGCAGTCTAGGTAGCAACCCTCGACGCAGCCATCAGCTCAGAGTTAGTCGGGAGATTAATTCAGAATAGTGGATTTTTAGGTCGGTAAGCTGCAGTTAATTTTCAGTGTATCTTGGATCTCAATGGCTTTTCTAATCCAAGCATTTCCCCGTTTATTTCCTATCTCCGGCTAATGCAGGAAATATGGGAGGAAGACTATTTTACATTTAACCTGCATGTTAAACTTACAGTTACTGATCATATTTAACGAATGACAAGTAACGAAAGGTTTCTCAGTAAACTTGGTCTTTAATGGGCTTAGGATTGTGGCACTTAAAAGGACCACAAAAAAGTGTAAAGTGAAGAGAATCAGGGCCCATCTTCCGTATTTTCCAGACTATAAGTCGCACTTTTGTTCATAGTCTGGCTGGTCTTGCGACTTATATACCAAATTATGTATACCGCGCTGCTGCAGGCCGGCTCCGGACCAGGAATGAGCTCCCCTGCCCCGCCATCACCTGCTGGAGACCGTTGCGTTCTGCTGCGGGCCGGCTCCGGTCCAGGTTTCAGCTCCTCTGCCCCACTCATAGGCGTCATTTTAACCGGGGACGCCGGGGACATGTCCCCGGCAAAATTTGTGATGGACAGCTGTGTCCCCCCCACTTTCAAAAAAGCCTGCTGATGAGGATTTTTGTTTTACCAGCTCAGATCTCATGGGGGGATGCAACACCCACACTTTTCCAGCTGTTTTGCTCACCTCCACACCAGTCTGGTTTCTTTACGTCGCACTCTCTGTTTGCCTCATCTCCTTCTTCCCCTCCCTCGTCTGACAGCCGATGTCGGGTTTCCAGGAGAGCAGGAGAGGGAGGGACGGAAGAGCTCGACTGAATTCATAATTTTACATCTTGACATTAGCTGTACAAAGTCTGAGTTTGATAAAGTGAAGAACAACAATTTGCAGAGGTTTATAACAGGCACGGCGCCAGGTTTTCATTTTTGGGTGGGCCACGGTAATTTTGGACGGACCTTAATAAGCAGTCACTTGGTGAAGCAGGCAGGACGCGCTAGAAAATTTAGTTTAAAAAAGTCGTCATAAATGTTTTCCCCCGTCATTTTAATTTCTAAAATATGAAGTAAAAACTCCCAATTTAATTTTCATTCATTTGTCATTAATATTTAGTCTACAACCGTGCGTTAAGTGGACCAACTTCCAGTAAAAGCAAAGCTTCCCCACCTCTCCAAATGCGTAAAATGTGAATCAGCCGCTAGTTAGGCGCGCCGCGCGCACCATCAGCTGATCAGCCCAGACAAGAGCAGAGCAACTAGAGAAAGAATAGAGGATAATTGTGTCTGGATGTGGATGGAGATTACATTTTACAGCAGCCTGATCATCATTTAAATACGTAAACCATCACCTGTCTTCTAGTCCACGCTATCAGCATTATCGTAATTGGTGTGTGTGTGTGTGTGTGTGTGTGTGTGTGTGTGTGTGTGTGTGTGTGTGTGTGTGTGTGTGTGTGTGTGTGTGTGTGTGTGTGTGTGTGTGTGTGTGTGTGTGTGTGTGTTTTCCACTTCAAACACTGGTCTAACCAACCAGACCAGCGTGTCCAGTAACATATTAATGTTACAATTAAACTGTTTCACTTCATGTAGGCTAGGAACATTTCACCTGCCGTGGCCCGACCGCTTCTGCTCCACATAAACTTTGTGCGTGATCAAATGTCTCTACGCGTCACGCGTCTCCATATTAGAGACGGGAACAAGCGCTGTTCAGCCAAAGTTTCATAATTTCATAAAAAGAACATTTTTCTAAGTGACACATCCCTCAGAGAGACCGGGTTTCCAGACCGCTTCAGTGGGAGGAAATCGTATCGTGGTTCTGCGCTGCGAACCCCAGATCTTCAGCCCACTGTGCACCAGGCGCACCGAGCCCCGGTGAACACAGTGTCCAGTATAAAGCTCTGATGGGAATCAAGTTACCTCTACGATGTGCGTAACGATTAAAATGTCAGCTCATCCATGCGCATCAGTGTGCGTCGGGGTAATTCTTTCAAAACAACCAACATCCTTGAGTTTATCTGTCAAAATAAACAGTCAAATGGAAATATCTGTAACCTGCCATTTAACTGTTTTGACTTCTTGTGAAGATTGTTGCAAAGAGAAACAATTAAACTTGATTAACCCCAGAGCCACGCATACTGCACTGTACGTCGTGACTGTAAATGAGGGGAAACGATTTAATCGGATCCTTTTCTTTTCAACATGGTTTAATGTAAAGTTTCATTCAGTACAAACTTTAGTTACACCGATCTAACGAGACAGAGCCTGGATTTGTATTCTGAACAGTTTAAACATGTTTAAAACGGAGACATGCGTGACGCGTCTAAAATTCGCACCTGCTCCGCTATTTTGGAAATTAAACTAACAAGATGAATAACAACTTATTTTAGGCATAGACAACATCCCCCACACTTTTGAAAAGCTTGCAACGCGCCTGGTCGCTCGTGTACGTCAAAGTTATCTTTCATAAGACGATAATCAATAAAACGAATTATATAAAATGGATCCAGAAGTTGTAGCCCGTCTCTGCCTTCAATTTTTGGTATTTTTCACCCTGTTGGTGGTTTTACTGAGCAGGTGCCCCTTTTGTCATACGTTTCTTTATAAAACGCTGCGAGCACAAGCGTGACGCGTCAACCCGGTCACACAGTAGACCGGGTCGGAACTGTTCAGGTTTACGCAGACAATCTTTACATTTAGAATTGGCATACAGATGTAAAATTAATTCAGTAAAATATAAAGCATTTTATTTAAATATCCATTCATTATTTTACAAGCACAGAGAGCCGCATCAGATGGATGGAAGAGCCGCACGCGGCTCCAGAGCCGCGGGGTGCCGACCCCTGTGCTAGCCTACTTTATTGTCCCCAGCAATTTTTAAACCCCACTCCAGTGTATGGTTATTGTCCCCAGCAATTCTGAAAACAAACTGACGCCCTTGGCCCCACTGGGAGGGTTTAACATCGCCATCACCTGCTGGAGACCGTGGCGCGCTGCTGTGTACCGCTGATGCAACAGCTGGTTGTTTATTCTGTTATTGTTACCGATACTTGTCTTGCAATGTAAAATGCTTGGTCTCAGATTTTGTAAGAAAAATAATAAAATTTCCCCCCAAAATGCGACTACTATATGTTTTTTTCTTCTTCATTATACATTTTATGGCTGGTGCGACTTACTCTGGAGCGACTTATACTCTGGAAAATACGGTACTCTACCTTTGATACCACTGATACTTTCTGAAATGTTTGTTATTAGTGACTATGACTGCAATTTTTAAAAAGTATTTAAAAACTATTTTTAAAGACCCAAAATAAAGACCACTGAATGAAACCTATGTTTGCTTAAATTGCCAATCTCTGCTTCTATTATGTATAGAGATGTATTTACTTAAAGTATCCGATTAGATTTCAACAGTACAAATAGCAACATTTTTAAATGAAACATGAATTAAATTTTTTATCTTTCATTTGTTGTTGCACGACACTTTCTTTGTTCTTCTCATATGCTTTGCGGTTGTGTTCAGCACAATGGTCTGCTGATGAGGTCATGGAAGGTACTTTATAAATAAATGAACTGAAATCAACTGAACTAAATAGATGCATTGTTTTATTTTTTCTAATTGGCTCAAAATCCTGAGACAACTCAAGTCAGATTTAGGGCATTCTCAGAAATATGCCAAACTTGAGCAGCGAGTACAAGCAGACATTAAGAATTACATGCAGTGCTGCTAACAAAGCTCTGGACAAAAAATGTTTTCTGAATGAGATTTTTATGGGTTTTTTTTTTTAATGAGGAGTAAAGTAATTCCATGAGACATAATTGCACATTTTTGTATTCCCTGAATCTCATCTTGGAATAAACTCATCAAATACGCACGTATGTCTAGCTAGGCCGGGGCGTGAGGGGAATTTTAACTTGCTAGTCAAGACTTGTGCTTCCCACCTCCCTGCTCGGGGACATCCTTGGCTTCTTCTCCTCCTCCTCTGTCTCCCCCAGCCTGTTTTACATTTATCTCCTCCTCGTTCCTCCCAACCCACTTCACTGTCTTGGCTTGCTGTCTGTTCTCACTGTCTATCTTGTTCCACATAGAGGAAAAGTTGGCAAAACAAGGCCTGCTGAGAGACCCCAGCACTGCAGGAAAAGTACACATAGCAATGAGGAAAAACAAACAAGAGTATGACGGCAGGCGGTGTGTCAGGAACAGGCATGAAATTGTTGATTCACGGACAGTGTCGCATGTCATCGATAACCAGGGCTCACGTGTTTATTGGTGTTCTGTTATAGAAAGGCATCGCTCATCCTCAGAGAGCCACCGCAGCCTGGGGGACTGCCTGAGCTGAATGACTTCAAAAACATACTTGCACCGGTTGTATTGCAAGGCCTGTGCGTTGTTCGGAAAGTTTCAACAACTTCTAAAAATCTTTGAAAAGACGTGCGGCATGAATATATACCGGGGTGTCCCGAAAGAACAGGATGTGAGGGAGCATATGCCCAGTGAGATGAGCGTCTGAAACGAGGGTGCCAGCTTCTCCCACGACAAACACCCCCACGGCACCCACGCGCTACCCTTGTCTCCTTTCACCGCTTTCATTCGGGCAAACAACAGCACGGCTGGCTGTGCTGCTGTATGAAATATTCATGGCAGAGATAAAGGGGATGTAGCTGAAAGTCTCTGTATTACCTTTCTGTGAGCCGTCTGCACCGATGGGACGCTCTGAGCCGGTTAGGTGTTCGGGGTTGCTTGTTTGTGCGCTCCTGAGGAGGAAGCAAAATCAGTGGATTAGAACCAGCAGTGCAGCACAAGGGGAAAATCATTAACACCATGTAAGCATGAAGGCCTTCGGAACCAAGGAACTCTTAAAAGTTAGTTTCACAATTCAGAAATTCAACAGAGCCGTGTGAACGGGGTTCATTTCTTTACTCTCTGCTTCCAAGCAGCCAATCTTTATGTCATATTTTAATGTGGTCTTCATCAACACTTCTTCTGATTTTCTGAAGGTCTTTTACAGTTTTATTTGGGATTTAAGAGCAGGTTAAGAGCAACAGAATCAAACTCAGGCCTTATAAAATACCTACAGCTGATGGACAAGATCTTAAAGTCACAACTTTAATAATGTTCATGAAAAAAATCTAAAATCTTCAAAGACCTGAGAGTGATTTCATCCTTCAGATGAGCAGCTGTTGAGTGTCACATTTTCAGGATAATCTTCTAGGTGCCAAAATAACATTTTATGAGTCAAACTAAGCTAATTTTGCTTTTTTCATTAACTGAAGATGTGTAGGTTAAGTTAGGTAAGTAAGGGCATGACTCTGCCAATATGATGTGGGAGATGGTAGGACGTATATCAGCTCCGTCTAATAAACACATCAGTAGTAGCTGTAGCGTGGTAGACTTTACCCTGGATTAGCCCCTTTGCATGATGCGTACACGTGCCGATGACCTTCTGGTTGATGATCACACATTACTGATTATCATAAATAATAATTATTATTAATCCAAAGAATAATAAGTCATTTCAGTAATTAAATACATTTATATTGAACCAAGATGATTATTTATGATTATTATATGATTGCAAAAAACAGTAAAACTGTTTATTAAATTATTATTTTAAAATTATTATTTTAAAATCTTGAAGTGTCCTTCATCTTGGGACGGAACAGCAGCAGATAAAGATGGTGTCTAGCAGACATCCCGGCTCCTGATGGGTAATCTGTGGAACAAAAGTTACGGCTTGACCCAGCTGGGAAAGTGTGACCTTTGGGTCACAAATATGAGGCCATTCATAACGCTACATAGCTTAGCTGCTTTGGATAATATACGATAGGATATAAATCCCAATAAAGGGAGTCATTACATCACAATACAGGGGAGACAATTATATAACGAATATATCGGCTGATATCTATTATTATAATTTATTTTGGAAAACATTGGTATCAGTTTTCAGTATTTTAATAACATAACTTTTACATATCATACACATATTATACATCAAACTCTTAAGCTACTTCTCTTCTGTCTCAAGATGTTAAAATACGACAGATCTGACGTAAAGTTTTTGAGATATTTTAGTTTCTGTGGCACAACTTGTGAAGTAGAAATTAGCCCTGTATAGTGAGTGTACACTGTCCTCACAGCGCCTATCTAATGTTTATGTCGGTCTCATAAGTTAAGTGTGAGACTATATCGGTATATCAGTTATCGACAAAAAAGCCAGTGTGGAACATCCCTAATCCCAATACAAGTGAGACAATACGATGTATTGCAATAGTAAAAAAACACAATATTTGCACTTTATAAGACTGAATTTGACTGGAAAACTCAGACTAGATGATTCAAAGACACATCCAGAGAAATCTCAAGATTTCATTGTTTTGTCAGAATGAAGTAGGGCAGGGCAATAAATCAAAAATTTATCGTTATTGAAATTTCTGACTCTTATATAGAGAATTTTTCCCATGTCAATAAATTTCATTATAAAAAATGAAAAGTTGTGTGTAGGTTGGCAACGCTCATGTCCCTTTAAGAAGCTATACCACATCGATTCACGTAAAAATGTGACTCATTTTAGCACACGTGACAGCCCCATCTAGTGGACAACTTTTGTTTCTGCGCATATCTATTGTCTAATTTATCGTTATCGAGGTGAAATCCTCAATTTATCATGATATTGAATTTAGGCCATATCGCCCAGCCATAGAAGGAAGTCAGTAAAAACTGCTGCCACCTAGCAGTCAGAAATAGAACAACATGCAACACGCAAAAGAAATTAAATAAATGTTTGCAAGTAAATACTCAAGTGAAAATTTATATATTGCTTTTAAATATAGATTTGGTATCATAACAAAAAATATGACATTTCAGTGTATCAATATATTCTTACATCTCTGCCAACTAGGTAGCTAATTAGTATTTTAGCTATAGATCCAATGTAAAAGTTATCTGTTTGATGTCAAAAACTCAAATCCCATTGAGTTTAGGACCCTTTTGTATGCATTAGTCAACGTTGAGTAACATTCTTTTCAAAATGGTTCTTTAATAAACTGAAAAAAAATGTTAAATCGTCACAAAGTGAGGAACTGTTGGCTAAAACCACTTTAGAGAACATCTGGCTAATTGGAAGCTAACTAAAGACATTCATTGATGAATCATATTTGATTTTTACATTTTAATGTAAATGTCGGTGGCAGAGGAGTTTAGTGCCTGCCCCGTAACCGGGGGGTTGCAGGATTTTTTTTTCTTCCCGTATTTGATATAGCGCCTTCTAGAGTCCTGGAACCCCCAAGACGCTTTACAACACAATTAGTCATTCACCCATTCATACACATTCACACCCTGGTGGGGATGAGCTACAATGTAGCCACAGCTGCCCTGGGGCGCACTGACAGAGGCAAGGCTGCCGAGCACTGGCGCCACCGGTCCCTCCGACCACCACCAGCAGGCAACGTGGGTTAAGTGTCTTGCCCATGAACACAAAGACAGCGAGAAACTGAGCGGGGCTCGAGCCTGCAACCTTCCGATTACAGGGCGAGCACTTAACTCCTGTGCCGTCACTGTTTTGTGTCCCACTCAATCTGTCACAGTCGTCGTGTCTTTGAGGAATACACTTTACCTTCCTTGCCTACTGGTGGTGGTTAGAGGGAACAGTGGCGCCTGTGTACGACAGCCTCGCCTTTCTAAGTCTACTCCTGGGCAGCTACGGCTACAGTGTCGTTCAGTTGTGTGTGAACGGGTGAATGACTGATGTATTGGAAAACGCCTTTGGGGGTCATAACTTCTGCCTGTGCATTAAGCCCGGACCACACTGTGCGTATCCTCACGACCAAAGTCAGCCTCCGACAGTCTTCAAGCACAACTTGAAAACCTACGACTTCTGTCTGTAATCCACCAATGAAAGAAAATACACCCAGGGAGTGATGCAAACAGCTACTGACGAGAGTACAATATGAGAGTAGAACTAGCAAAAGTTGAAGCAACATAAAGGAACATGTGGACCACTCCTTTTTTAAGTCTAATAAAATAATTACCGGCAGTGTTTTTTTCTCTCTTTTCAGCTTTGTTGTTTTGGTTAGTTGTCAGCATTTAGTGATGTATGCTTTTTGGGGGGTGAGCTCGTGACAAGCATGTCCTGCTAGAGCGAGACATCGTGCAGTTTGGCTCTCTGAAACCTCGGACTGTACAGTGTGCCAACCTTTCTGATGTTCACAGAGTGTGGCATGTGCAGTCCTGTGCAACAGCCAAAAACTGCAGTGTGGTCTGGGTTATAACAGTCGCACTTTAAACAAAAACACCTCATTTTAGTTTTATCTATCACTTCTGCTCTGCTCTCATTAAAACCATGGTTCTCATGCTATAAAAAGTTAGAGACCACAAAACAAATTCAACACAGATAACTTTAGTTTCACCATTATGTCATTGGTTTACCTTAGCAGAGTTGGTTTTAGCAGGTTATCTATTCAAAGTGCCAACTACACACCAGATCAGTGATTTCACCTCCTACCTTTTTTTAACAAGGCTTTCCTAGAAAAACTAGAATTTATAATGGTTTTCATAAGATAGATGGGATTACGAAAGATTGAAAAATGTATCATAACTCCATTAGAGCTTACAAAGTCCACCGATAAATGTATGTGTGAAATAATACTGTGACCTAAGTAATTGGTAAAACAATTGGTTTCCTATACAAAAGTTATGAACAGTTAATATCTTACTTGTTACAGGCAAATTTGGAAAAACAGATTAGTTCTAACTGAACTGGTAAGCTTAAACGTTAACCTGACCAGGGCTACGACAAAATGGTTTAGTTGTTATTGTTGTTTGTTTGTTTGTTTGTTTGTTAGCCTGGAAAACCATCCTATATTTATTAATTAGGCTATGTGTATGTCCGGCTGAGACCCACTACATTGAAACAACCCAATTGTTGGATGGAATCTACTCGCTGAACGGAAGCGGACAGCGCCAGGACCAATAAAAACAAACAATGTGATGTCTTCATCACAACTGAAATCAGTCAATGGGGTAGTCTGTCAAACACCACTGATAGAGAAACAAATATATCCTTTTTGAAAGAAAAGACCTAAGTACTTCTGTCTGCTCATGTCTCAAAAAGCCAAAGTCTAAATCACCCAAAGTTGATGCCAAAACCATTTCAAACGAACACTGTTCCTGAGCCAATGCCATCTTTTTAGTTCTTCTGTCACAGCTCTAGTGTCAAGCTCGCTCAATAAACGTAGAGCGCTGTGACTGGCAAGATGCAAAACTCTTCAGGCCAATGGGAGTTATGCTGCAACAATGGAGTGTAGCTAGACCAACCCGCAAAGCAAAATCTTTTGCTACAGTTGATCTGTGAATTGCTGAAAACTATTTGATATTAGAGATGTTTTTAAAAAATGGTATACAACTTTAGTTTTGGGCCAATTCAAACTAGCTGTTAGCTCCTCCATCCAGTCAGAACTATTCCCCATTTCTCCAGAATTAGATTTGTTAAAGGGGACCTAGAATGCAGTTAATCAGCTATATAAAACTGATCTTTGAGCCTCTGTAAAGCATATAAAATTTTGTTGGAGCTTAACATGTCCCGGGAGCCCAGAGAGATGGCCAACTACATATAAATTATTTTGTGATTTTGTATAGTGTTCATTTGTTCAATAAAGTTCTGAAAAGAAAAAAAAGTCCCCACTGAAGCAGTTAATCAAGAATGAGTGTGTGGCAAAGACAGGCTGGTTGTATAAGGGTTGTAGAAGGGTTGCAAATTCATGGGCCATTCCCATCTGTACCGGGTCGGCCCGGACCGGTTAGCGTAGGTTGTTTACATATCTGGGTGGCCTGGTATTTTTCCGGGCCAGCCAAGGCTCATTCTTAGCCCTCTTCTCGAGGGGGTCTGCTTCAGGCCGACCAGGGCCAACACACCCACTGCTGACAGTAAATTCACACCTTCCATTAGAGCAAGCCTCTGATTGGTGGGTAGAATCAGCCCACATGGGCTTAAGGCAAGGATGTGTGGAATCAACCGGGCCAGGCTGGGGCCGACTGGGGCTACCCGGCCCGGGCCGACCCGGTACAGATGGGAATGGCCCATAACAATGACGAAAAGGACCGAACCGGACCACAAGCTGTGGATCTATCTGACATTCACTGCATTTACATGCGCATCAGAAAACTGAAGTATTGCTCTAAAAAGACTCATGTCTGTTTTTTGATTGCATGTAAACATTTTAGTCTGGTTCGAATACATTCTGAATATAAACGGGCTAGCTGAACTAAACCAGTAAGACGTTCGCATTATGGAAGTGAGGAGACCGCCGAAGCGGTTTTCTGACAAGACCATCGTCACGAATCAACAAACGTCACACCATAAACAGGACAGTACGCACCAAATAAGCTGTGCTGTAGTATTGTTGTACATTCCTTCAGCCATTGTGCAGATCCTGTTTCAGTTCCATCTGCTTCACCCTCGCCAGCCTCTGCTTACTACTTGTGTTGCTTATAAGCTAACCGGAAGAATGCTGACATGAAATGGCGCGTGTTGCCACCTACTGTACCGGAGTGGAACAAACTTTATTTGAGAGGCCGGTTTTCCTATGCACATGTAAACTAGGATAAAGACGCCCAGCATATTACAATAAGATTGACTGGGATCGACTTAGAGGTCAGTTTGGATTTTACCAATATATCCTGGAACCTGAGTGGTAAGTGCTTGCTTTTCTTTCAACAAGGCTGTTGCTAGCTGAATCTAACAGATAGCTGGTGCTAACAGAGGCCCGGCTTACCGTGGCTCTGCAGTAGCGTTGCTGCGACCAGCATTTAAATACTGCTGATGCTGAAGTGGGTTGGAACGTGTAGCTTTAGTAGAAGTGGTTACCTTGTGACGTGCTTAGGAAAGGAGCTTTTCTCGCGCCTTTTTGAACTTTCTAACTTACATAAAAAAGCAAGACTTTTTAGCATGCTACTTTAGACCACCCAAGCTGTCTTTATTCAACAAGAAAAATGGTGGTGTAGATTCTAGGTCCTCTTTAAAGAATTATTTACCACCTATCCAAAGAATGTCACTTAAAATGGTAAATGCCCTGTATTTGTATCACGCCTTCTTAGGGTTCTACAACCCCCCAAGGCGCTTCACAACACTGTCGTCATTCACCCACTCACAAACACATTCACACGCTGGTGGTGATGAGCTATGATGTAGCCACAGCTGTCCTGGGGCGCACTGACAGAGGCGAGGCTGCTGAGCACTGGCGCCACCGGTCCCTCCAACCACCACCAGCAGGCAAGGTGGGTTAAGTGTCTTGCCCAAGGACACAACAGCAGCATTCTCTGGTCGGAGCCGGGATCAAACCTGCAACCTTCTGATTACTGGACAACCCGCTCTACCTCCTGAGCAACTGCTGTCCTATGTGAATTATACCTCTAGGCCTCTAAAGATAATGTAATGTATAAAACGACAAATGCATTTCAAACAAGCCTTTAGTCAGTAATGAGAATATAACGTCCTTCACCGAGATGCTTACCCTCGTGTTTTGTGTTCAAAACATAAAATCAAGAATTTATTCAGAGAAGTACCTGTCCTGAACTGATGCAGTGGTCTGATTGGGGATTTCAGGAACAGGCCGGTGCCTCAATCGGTAGGAGCGAGTGGGTTTTAGACCTCCACAAGGCTGTGACTCATATATTGAATTGTCCACCATTTCACAATGGAAACCTTCATGGTCCTCAGCTAGCTCTGGCAGGTGCTCCTCTGAAGAAACCTCAATATCTGAGGGTGCGTCAGAGTTGGATGGGGATTCGCTGCTGCTAGATGTCCTGTGGGAAGGCATATTGGTCTGTGCAGAGGCTGGTGTCCGAATCGATTGGATGTTACGAGGAGCTGGTACAGGTGGTTGAAGATTTCGGCTCTCTGGGAGTTTATCCTCGTCTGCTGCCATCGCTGCTCCTGCAGGCAAATTGTGACTCCCCTGCAAATCATACTCCATCTTCTCCTTTGTTTGGTTGTGCGGATATGCCATCCCTTTATTTCTGTCCTTCAGGAAGACATGCCTGGGGTGCAGTGCTGGCTTCTTTTCACCCATCTTGCCCTCTACATCTTCCTCAGCTTCAACTTCTTCACCACTCTTCTGCTTCAGGCCCTGATCTTCCAAACTCCGAAGGATGCGTCTGCGGTGACCAGTTGGCAGAACTTTAAGCTGCAGGAGTCGCTCATCTGTGAGGTCCTTGCAGTCCTCTAGAGAACGATAACCACTGTGATGGAAGAAGGAGGTGTACTGAGTGAGGCGGAGGGTGGAAAGCCACTCCAAAATCTCAAGACTGAGCTCTGGAGGCTCCAACATGGTGCTCTAATCCCACGTCTGAAACATCAGGAAGAGTGGGGGTAAATAGAAAAGAGCAGCATCAATCTGTGGACACAAGCACAAGAACAAGAGATTTTATTAGTTTATTGTTAGTTTTTCATATAAATGCCAACCTATGAAGATTGAAGTTCAGCTCAGTGAATCCAGCGGTTCCATTTCGCAATGTGATCATTGAACTTGTGCGACTTTATGGGCTAAATAAGGAAATTAACAGTAAAAAATGTGGTTTTCTCTCCAGGAAGTTGTCACAACGAACTGTTTTGAGACATCATCGTGTTCAACCACAGTTGTCTGTGTCATTTTTTCCTAGCTGTGGTTTAAGAAAACATGAGTTCCTAGCTTATTTCCTCATAACAGATTTCCTCGTAGATAACAAGCCCTGCTACCTGATATAAATTAACAAAAATAATTTAATAACCATTGGTTCTTGACAAAGGAAATAGCAAGAAACGGTAACAGCTGTGAGGAAATAGCAAAGAGCATCACAAGTTTCAAACTAAAAAGTACTTTACTTCAATCTAAATATCGTAAAAATCTTTTCTCTACCAACCTGTCTTATAGCTCTCGTCACAACCAGCCTTAAGAGTTTGACTTAAATGAGTTGTAGAAGTGCACTCTCACTGTTTATCTGTCCATATTATTACGCACTCATGAAACTCCCCGGAAGATGCAAAATATTAAAATAAGATAAATAAGCACACCAGCCACTTCATATACCCACTTCTCTTTTGGATGGCCAATCTGCAGCACACAGGGGACCTGAAGTTACTTCTGCTTTCAAGTAACACGATCATCTGGTGTGTGTGTGTGTGTGTGTGTGTGTGTGTGTGTGTGTGTGTGTGTGTGTGTGTGTGTGTGTGTGTGTGTGTGTGTGTGTGTGTGTGTGTGTGTGTGTGTGTGTGTGTGTGTGTATTTAAGACACATTCAGAGTTCAGAGGATAAGAGTGAACAGAAACTGGCTTTCAGTTATTTTATTTAGGACATCAAAAGCGAGCGTTCCTCCAGCCTGTGACTGTTTATCTAAAGACTGCCAACACGAATGCCGGTACAAACAGGGCTTTACAGTGCAACATGTATGTCGCACGTGCGATGAAAAACTCTGTGCGATAAACTACTTTTAGACGTTGCACTCGTGCGACATCTTTTCAAGTGACTTTTTTTTCTCCAGAACTTTACTGAACCAATGTAAGTTGCTTGTTATTGTGCAAGGAAGATGCCTTTTACTGGAACACAATGTACTAATCTAGGTGCTGTGGAGTAAAACAGAGAAACCAGCAAAGACACAAAGGCAAATACGGTCCAAAGTTTGGGATGAAAAGGGTAAGTACGGGCAGATTAGCTCATGCTAGCCGGTAGCAGGCTCACGATCAGGTGGGGTCCCGAAAAACACGATGGTTGTGAAACTAAGAAAATCTAAACTACAAGCGGAAGAAAAGTCCCCATCATCCTATTTATTCTTAGCTGTCTGCAGCTCTGTGCAGTAGAACAGCAGCCGTCAGGTTGCTGATTCGAGTTTGCTCCAAACACTGCCATATATGGCAGACCACTGTAGCATTTAACTCACAAACTGTCAATCTTCAAACATAATTTCAAACAGATTATTGCTAACCTGTAGATAATAGATGTCACCACTCCATTTTAGTAGTAGAAATTGAATGTTATAAGCATTTCCAGTACCACCGAACATCAAATTCTACTGATCATTGTTTAACTGTGGATGTATTTATATATTTTCTTTTGACTAAGATGAGTGATATTAATACAAACCTAAAATGTTATTGAAATGTAGGTAAAAAAAATTTCATAAAATATCTGACCATGAATATCAGATGGGAAAAAGGGAACTTTACAACACCAATTTAATACATATTATAGGGAGCCCAAGTCACGCTCATCTACTTCCAGACCAATGGGGCTAAAAACGATATTTTCTAATTCCGCTTGTTTTTGTTCCATGGATTTCACATATGATGTCCATGAATTTTAAAGATGAATTTTAATTCCAAGAAAGTGGTTATTTTTGAACAGGGGGAAACTCTATTTTAGATTTTGTGTGAAAATAAGTGCGGGACTACAAATGAGCTTCACGACAGTGACGCCATTCAAATTCAAATTCAAAGGTACTTTATTAATCCCAGAGGGAAATTAGAGTTTCAGTACACACAATTCTGAGATCAGACATACATAGGCAAAGACACATGACTTTGGTGACGGTGGTCATTCGCAACCCGAGTCGCGCTACCTTAATAGAGATCAGAGGGTTTATATGAGGATTGGGTCAGGTGGAGGAAAAAAGGGCACTTCAGAGTTACCCTCCACAGGGAGGGCAGCTTTGATATGCAAAAAAAACACCTCAGACAGAAATTCAACAGACTTCAGACATTACACAACAAAAGTGTCCACTAGGTGGGGAGGTAGGGTTTGGGACTCTCCACACATCAGTGCATGCAGCCACGATCATCAAACCAGACAGAGAAAAGCAGAGGGAAAATGGCTGTAAGTTCAGCAAACTTCAAATCCTTCCTTTAGGAGGAAAGAACCACCATTATCATTTGGTAGGTAGCAGCTACATTCAGGATCTTTACAGGCTCCAGTAGCAGCGACAGCCAGCTGGTTTGATCTGCTCTGAAAGGCGTTGATCAGAATTTGCAGATCACATTTTTTTACCGGCGATCGGGCGCATGCAGCCATCACGCGTCGCTCAATACAGCATCCAAGCGGAAACTTGCCTAGGAACTTTTATCGGCTGAACTTAAATCACACAAATAAAAATTCATTATTTAACGGAAAAAATAAACTGAAACGGTACGCAAGTGGACCGAACCAAACAGGCCAAACCGAAACGGTTCAGCACTCCCCGTGAACCGTTACACCCCTAGTGGTCATGTACTTGAACGAGTTCATTGTACAATCATTCGTGAACTTGTTGGGGGGGGACGTAAACCAAACTCGTTCGCATTTTTGCTTGATGAATATTAAAGTGAGCTCTCATTCTGGCGTGTGTGAACGGGTTTATGAATGGCACTCTCTTTCAGTTTGAGAGCTCCAGATCTCCATGAAGCTAAAGCCTTAGCTAAGACATCCTGGTAACCATACAGTTCATAAAAAGTAGAACACGCAAATGCAACTATCATACACAATAGCGATTGGCATGGTGTCTACTCTTTTATGTCCATGCCATTGAGGACGAACCTCTGCAATGAACAAATCCACAATAATTTCAAATAAAGAAAATGCTTTTTTGTTAAACTGACAAAAATGTCTGAAGATATTTCAGAATCAACTTTATTCTCAAGAACGTAAGTGAGACTCACTTTACCAGGAATTTGCTTTGGTGGCTGTTATTGTTATTTAATTATAGGCAGTACTGGTGTTTTTCAGTGTGTTTAAGTAATTGTAAGAACTACTTTTGGTTTTTAGAGATAGTAACAATTTTTTATGCTGGTGCTACAACGTTTTGTTCTGTGCTACAAAACCTATGACCTTCGTAGCACCAGTGCTATAAGCTAAGAATGTTAACGTACAGCCCTCACAAATTACTGGACTAATATTCATTGACGGAACAAATGTCACCTGACACCTTTTAGTCAGTTTTAAACTAAGATAATGTAATGCTCAGAAATGACAGGAGAAATGTCTGTTTGGTCAAAGAGTTAAAATAATATTACCCAAGATCTCAATTTTTCAAAATTTCTTGGAGCTCAGATTAATAGTGTGGATTACTCAATCACTACAACATCAGAAATGAGCTCAACTTCTGTGAAAACGACTAAACAAACAAGCTGGCACACCATAAATGACAAAGCTAACACCATGTACAGTTTGGCACAGCACACCAAGAAGCTGGGGGTAGGAGAGTTTATTCTGAGGGTAAATTTCATTGTGGGTGGTTTGAGGCAACCAAAGTGCAGAGCATCTTCAGCTGCTTGAATTTGACAAATCACTCTGCTTTGTGGTTTATGAGATCACTAATCACACCATCAACCATGTAAACCACATATGTTAAGACTCAAGGCCCGCGGGCCAGATGCGGCCCGCGGAGCATTTCTATGTGGCCCGCGAGATAAATATCAAAAATATATTAAAACTGGCCCGCTGGCCGATTTTACCGCAAAGACTTCAACTCCCATGATGCTTTGCGGCATCAGCGCGGAGCCGACGCGCCCCCTCCTTTGTGTTTTTTCCAGTGCCTGCTGCCGGGTGTGTGCAGCTCCGCTGTTTCGGACAAACTACACTCCTCTCACTCAGCGCCGAGTTCACTCAGCTGTTTTCTGACGTTGAAGCCCAGAAACGGAGATTCTAGCCGCTCAGTAATGTGTTCACGACTGAAAGAGAAAGTTTCCCAACTAACGTCCAGACAGAGCTGATATAACTCCAGCGAGCAGCGACACGCTCAAACCAGCATGACTCTGTGGCTGCTGTCGTGTTTCCTCCCCGACACACAACAATGTGGTCAAGCTGCTCAGACATGTTCAGCAGCACAAACCTATGTGAGCACCTGTTGTCATCTAATGTTGTCGTTATTATGATGAAGAAGAACAAAACAACAGGAGCCTCCTCCTCAGCTCAGATCAACCCCATGATGCAGGTATCTGGCTGGAACAGGTGAGCATCACAGTAAACCAGTGGAGCAAACTGAGCTTTAAATATGCTGGTTTTATGCTCTTTTTCTGCTCCAAAACATGAAAGTTAACAGGTGAGAAGTTGCATTTTCATTTAAGATAAAATGATATTTTTATTTTGTTGTTGGCCCGTGAGAAAAGATTTAACCTACAGTAAACAGGAAGTGGAAAGTCTGCAGATAGATGAATAGAATAGAAACTCCCTTTATTGTTCCTCAGTGGGGAAAGCTAGACGTCACAGCAGCGATGACACTTATTACAGGAGAAAAAGGAGAATAAAAAATAAGAAAAATGAATAAACAAGAAAACATAAATCCTGAATAGATTTTAAAAATGCTGAATACACCACAAGTAATGAATACCACTGATGCCTTTTATTTAAAACTGACTTGCTCGTGTGTAATTTGGTTATTCCACATTCAGTGTTAATGCAGAAATAAGTTTGTTTCCAAATTTAAAGGTTCAAAATTGCATATATGTTGATAAAGAAAATGTGCAAATTTGCCGTCACTTTTTCAAAAAATATTAAGTTTGGCCCTCGACTCCGTCCCAGAGTTTCATTTCGACCCCGTGTGAGTTTGAGTTTGACACCCCTGATGTAAACAGTCTGTGATACTCATCACTGGATACTACTTTTTCATTCTTCTCAGCTTGGATAGTGCAAGAGTTCTGTTTAAGCAAGTGCAATATTAGATCATGTTCTGATGAAGCTAGTAGGACTACATCATTTGCAAAAATAAAGAGACTGAATACTAAACAGATCCGTTCAACACCTTGGCTATGCCCAGAAATTCTGCCCATAAAAGTTGTGAACAGAATCTGTGACAAAGGGCAGCCTTGGCAGAATGAACACTCACCAGATACGAGCCCAACCGGCACTGCGAGCCAAGCTCTGGCACCAGTCATATAGGTACCAAATGGCACTAACACATTAGCGTCGGAACGGTCGGGGTTTGGTCGAGCTGGATGGCGTGAGTTTGGGCTGGTACGGGCGGTGTAGCGTTCACATATAAATACGAGTAAGTAAGTAAAAGTGTATTTATATAGCACCTTTCACAGATATAAATCACAAAGCGCTGTACAACATGATAAAGATCAGGGCAAATACCTCTAACCAATAAAAACATCAGAA